TGGAAAATGGACAAAAAAGTATCCCCTGTGAAGCCAAAGCTTAGATTTTTTCTCTCCCCCCCCCCCCCCCCCCCCTTCTACTCCCAATTTAATTTTCCCGGGAAACAAACAGTAAAAGCGACCCATAAACTCAAATTGAAACGGAAAGAACGCATTTCACCTAATCCACTTCACTAGCTCTCCTTCCAGCTTTCTCCCACTCCCATTTTCCCGAGAAACCAACAGGAAATTCTACAAGCCCAGAAGCCATATCACCAAGATTCCTTCATCTTCCCACTCCTTATTCTTCCAATCCAACTTTCTCCGGAAACAAACAGAACAAACGAGAAAAGATAGCATTTTCGATTTTCCCCAGAAACAAACAGACAACCTGCTAACCCAGAAGCCATAACCCCTAATTTTCCCGAGAAACAAACAAACAAAAGGGTTTCACAATCGAAATCAACACAGAGAAAGGACTGCTTACCATCACCACCACCAGAGCGAGGGCGAGAGACCCAGGTTCGACACCTTATCCTCTAAGCCCTTTTTTATACTTTCGATCTCGTGTCTCTCTCCGGCCGACGAAATTCAATAATCCAAAAGAGGTACATCGAGCTTCGAATTTCCTTTGCGATTTAACGAGAAAAAAAGATGGAAATAACTGGCTCTCTTTCCACCACGTCTCCAATCTCCTTATTTCAAGTTCTTTATTTCAAGTTGATACTCTCCCCACTCCACCACCTACGCCCCTCTTTTTGCACTTAAACATATCTCTATAACAAATATTTTACCAAAAAAGATCGTGTTATCACGTATATATCATGAGGTAATTTCATATCTTTCATATTAATGTGTTATGCAATAGTAACATAAATAATAATAATAATAATTTTAACAAAAATATTTTATTAGAGTATAAGTCAAGCAAGGAACCAAGGGTTGAAAAAAAGGTTACAACTTTAAAATCGAATGAACACTTTTCTGTTTACTTTATATATTTTAACAAGATGCTCAACTGTTTCCGTTGAACCAAAACCAATTTAAAAAGGGCAAAAAAAAAGGGTTAGAAAGGTCATGTGAAAGAACAAGCAAGAGACGATGGTTAGAAAGACATCGCCTGATAAGTCCATCTGAATCAGGAGAGAGAGAGAGAGAGAGAGAGAGAGAGAGAAGCCGACAAAACGCAGTCACCTAACCCATATGACAGCAAAGTCTCGGGCTGAAGTGTCATCGACGGCAAGAACAAGCTCTTTCTTCTTACCCGACATCACTGAACTTAAAAAGTCTCCATCTTTTTGCTCTTCTTCAGCTCCAAGAATACTGCCCCTCTCTGGTTTTGTCTCAGATTCGGATTTTCTCCATCGATGGTCAGTTCTAAGGTCAGTTTCTGAGCTGGGTTTTGCTTATCTCGATCAGATCTCATTTGGGCACTTCGGTTCCCTCGAATTCGATATCCAATATCATAGCCATATCACTGACGAAACAGAGCTTTATTCTGTTCCATATTTCCATCCTTCCACCGAATCTGGGATTTTGTCTCAGACATATTCTTTCGGTCGAATTTTCAGATGGGTAGTTCGCGATTCTCTTGCTTTCATGTCATTTTGGGTAAATTTAATCCTTTATTTTAGTATTTGGATTCAAATTCAGGAGTTACAGTAAGATTTTTTTTTATTAGGAAGAACGAGGATTTTGAATTGACCGTCGTCGTCATCATCATCATCGTCTTCAAATGAAAGCAACTGGCCTTTTGTTAATTTTCCAGACACCTTCTTTGACTCTTCAACCCATTTCCGGGCTTTGTCTGAAACTCTCAACCCCACGAATTCGAAGGTTTTTTCGAACTGGGTTTTCGGGTCGGAATTTAAACCCGAACCCGAAATTCAAAAAGACTGTTTTAGAGTCGACTCGATTCAATTAATGTTCATGAGAGCATGCCTTGTTGCTGAGAGAATATTTCGACTTAAACAAATAATAAGATGATTAAGCTTGGCTAATTGGTAATAATTGTTGTGGTAATGACATAATCAGCGCCTAGAAAGTTTCTTCCTCTCGTTTTCCTTTTTCCATGAAATTCTAAGTCTCCCTCTTGTTGTATTCATATATATGCGCATACTTGCACGTTGACATTCTTACCGGTATGTGTGTATGTATGTGTATATATATATATGTATATGCCTGTTTTATCCACTCGCAGCTCGTTTTCTCTTCTCTCTGTCTGATAATTGCAGGCTTTTGGATTTTCCTCTTTAGATCATTCTGTTTTCCTTGCATGTCGTATGTCCTGTCTAACTTCTTTTTCTGGTTCTCTTTCTCTTTTTGTTAATCTCTCCATTTCTGGTTCATATTCCCCTTTCCTTTTCGAGTATATTTGCAGTTCTGTTCTCCTTTTTCCATCTTCTTGTCCCTTTCTGGTCTAACTTCTCTTATGTTCCTTTTTTTTCAGATCAATTGAACAAAGTCTGAACCTTTACGTGAGTGGCGAAAACCAATGATTTCCCGAGTCTGTTTCCTTCTCTTCCTCGGTTTTCTCCTATCAGAGATTACAGCTCACGACCTCAAGCGTGCGAGGATCATTATCGATGGGACGAGACGAGTTTCTGAGACTGACGAGAACTTCGTCTGTGCAACCATTGACTGGTGGCCTCATGACAAGTGCAACTACGATCAGTGCCCTTGGGGCTACTCCTCGGTGATCAATATGGTAAGAATACGAGGTTTCTTTTCAATCTCACGTTTTTCGGACGAGATTCAGACATATGTGGATTGATTTTGCATCCTTTTTTTAATTGCAGGACTTGTCTCATCCTCTTCTTGCCAAAGCTATACAAGGTTTCTTTCTCTCTTTCCTCTCTCTGGCCGTGAATGAACGTTTAAGACAATACCGTTCGGTTTTTGCGTACTGCATCAAATTATTTATTGTATAGTTTCTGCAAATGAATCGATTTCGGATTTTTCAGCTTTCGGTCCGTTGAGAATAAGGATAGGTGGTTCACTGCAAGATCAAGTGATCTACGACGTAGGAAACCTGAAGAGTCCTTGCCATCCATTTAAGAAGATGGACAACGGGTTGTTCGGGTTTTCCAAGGGTTGTTTACACATGAAACGATGGGATGAGCTCAACACTTTCCTGACTGAAACCGGGTAATTCACAAGTTTCTAGCTTTCCTTTTCTCACCAGTAAAAAACGAAAGGAATCTAGTCACGATCATGGTCTGGTCTTAATCCTGCAACAACTTCTGGTCTGTATCATCATGCAGGGCAATGGTGACATTTGGGTTGAACGCGTTACATGGGAGACATAAGCTCGGCGGAAATGCATGGGGAGGGGCATGGGATCAGACCAATGCTCTAGATTTCATGAACTACACTGTCTCAAAGGGTTACCGTATAGATTCATGGGAGTTCGGTAGGAAGAACCAGACAACCTTTTTTCCAGTCTCTTCTCTCTTGTCTTTGCTTAGTTTTTCGATCTTCTCTGATGGTTGTTTAGGCAACGAGCTGAGTGGAAGCGGCGTCGGTGCAAGCGTAAGTGCGGAGCATTATGGGAAAGATGTGATTGTACTGCGAGATATCATCAACCAACTGTACAAAAATTCCCGATCAAAGCCTTCGCTTATTGCTCCTGGAGGGTTCTATGAACGAGAATGGTACACAAAGCTTCTTCAGATCTCGGGGTCTGGAGTTCTCGATGTCGTGACTCATCATATGTACAATCTCGGTCCAGGTTTGTTACCGAGAGTTTCAGATTGATCTTATGAAAAAAACCGAAATATGAAAGTGAACAGAACACCAGTATTTAATCTTTTCAGGAAATGATCCGAAACTCATTGATAAGATATTGGATCCGAATTACTTGCAAGGGGCATCGAAAACGTTTGAAAACGTTAATGAAACCATTCAAGAATACGGTCCTTGGGCGTCTCCATGGGTCGGAGAGTCGGGAGGGGCTTACAACAGTGGAGGCAGAGGTGTTTCCGACACATTCGTCAATGGCTTCTGGTAATTAAAAAAAACAAGAATCCAAACCTGTTTCTTCTTCTTGATTTGCCACTGTTTATAACATTTGATTGGGTTTTAGGTATCTGGATCAGCTCGGTATGGCGTCTGAGCGAAACACAAAGGTTTACTGCAGGCAAACGTTAGTTGGAGGGTTCTACGGTCTGCTCGAAAAGGACACATTTGTTCCAAACCCTGATTATTACAGGCAAGCAGTGATGAAAATCTCGATTTTGGTATCGTTTCTCAGAAAAGAATGGATTCTTGTTCTTACGTTTTTCTCCGAACAGTGCACTTCTCTGGCATCGGCTTATGGGGAAAGGCGTTCTAGCCGTTCAGACGGATGCGTCGCCCCATCTACGTGCATATGCTCATTGTTCCAAAGGAAGAGTGAGTACCTATTCTCTCTGCCATGTCTTCGTTTAGTTTCGGTTTTCAGACAGCAAGAAAACGTACAGGCTTTCACCCCGTTTCAATCTGATTTTTTCGTTGTTTTCCATTCTGAGATCCGCAAATTTTCTCGTTTCAGACAGGCGTAACGATACTTCTGATAAATTTCAGCAAGCAGTCGGCTTTCGTGGTCAGTTTTCACAACGGCATGAACATTGTCATGAATGCAGAACCGAGGAAGAAGAAATCCTTCTTAGATACTCTCAAGAACCGGGTTTCTTGGGTCGGAAGCAAGGCCTCGGATGGATACTTGTTCAGAGAAGAGTACCATCTTACACCTAAAAACGGTAACTTGCGAAGCAAGACAATGCTTCTGAACGGTAAACCATTGAACCCTACAGCCACCGGAGACATACCGAGGCTTGAACCAGTCCGGCGAGGCGTGAAGTCACCTGTATATATCATGCCTTTGTCCATGTCCTTCATCGTCTTCCCCAACTTTGATGCTCCGGCTTGTTCTTAATGAAATCATGAAAAAAAGAAGAAATTGTAAGTTTTTTGTTTTGGGAATTGTATCTAAATCTGGTTTGTATTTGCATTTTCATAATTGGATGTTGACAAGAAGCCCATCCAAGCAATTCTTCTGTTCTAATAAAACCATTCTTCATAGGTTTTATGATACATCTCTTTTGGTCAAGTAAAGAATAGATCATAAAGAATATATATTCAAAACCCAATGTACATATAACAATATGAATATCGGAAACTTTGTGAATCTGTGTGCTTTCTTCCATTGCAAAGATCAGCATTAAGATTTAAGACATCATCCAAAAGAACACTGCAACAGGGGGGGGGAGTAGTGTAACCATTCCTAGGTAGTTCTGATACATTTCTAGCTGCTAGAACAATTCCAAAATCTTGTTGGACTTCCAAAAGGATAGGAGCTTGGTCACATTCACTATACGACAAAATCCGCATCGGAAACTTCTAGAACTTTGTGGGCGCCGATAGGGTTCACGCCTGGTTTGAACATGTTGCCTTCTATATACCTGCAACTCAAAAAACAGGCACCCTCTCCATTGTCAGAATGGAAATTTCTTTCCTTTGATCAAACGAAAACCTTAAAACTTGTCCGCAGAAGGGCATTTCAAACCCCTCGGGCCAGATTTTCACATTGGTAAGGTTCTCTCATTCGGGTTTTTCACCGGATTTACCATCTTGCCCGAACAAACATCCTGCTGCGTCCGACTGCGCGCTTGTGTTTTCTCATGAGCAAATTTGCTTCTTTATTATTTCTGGTGACTTGGTAAGTGATGTTGTGGATAAGAACTCACATTTCTTTGAGGAATGGATGCTTGTAGAACGCTTCTGGGATTCTCCCTGAGAATTGGTTGTGATCAAGATACCTGGTAATCACCAACATCATGAGCAGACGAGTTTGCAGATTCGCGAGAGAATTGCTCAAAAACCCATCCTTTCGGGACAAACTATGAGCAAAGAACGTCTAAGTAGGAGGAAAAAGCTAAACTTTAGGACAAGATCTTAGAAAACTATTCCACAGGCAAACACAACAACTAGCTACAACGGTTGTATTTATGCGTATATGTCTTTACAGTAAGCATATTGGCGATGGAGAATAGAAGGAAGAGATTAGGTATTAGCAGAAAGCTAGAAAAACCGAGAGTTTGAACTTACAGGTACGTCAGTTTAGAAATATGGGCAACTGCATATGGTATGTTGCCGATAAACTTGTTGTAAGACAGGTACCTACAAAGCCAAATGTGCTCCGACGGTAATGTGAGATATTTTTCTGCAGTTTAATGTGAGATTATAATTTGCTACAACTAGAATTTCTCTTGGGCTGAAAATTACTTACACGATCTCCAAGTTTGTCAGATTGGCTAGTTGTGCCGGGATCCCTCCACTCAAATAGTTATTATTCAGGTACCTAGAAAAAGCCATGTTTTCGGAGGACAGAGCATAATGGATAATTAGACCTTGAAAGAGAAGAGAGAAGCTGTTTTCGCAAATTGAAAACGATGCTTACAAGTTGCGTAGAGATGGGAAGCTTCCTTCAAATCGGATGAGTTCCCGTATAGTACCCACCAAATGGTTATTACCGACATCTCTGAAAGGAACGGATACGAATATAAGTATCCAAACAGAGTGTAAACAGAAAGATGAGAGTTGAGTACTTACAGGTGCCGGAGGTTTTGCAAAGTCCCAAGTTCCGGAGGAATTCTGCCACTGAGACGGTTTTCTTGAATATATAGATATCGGAGTTCTGGTAAGTTAGCAAGCTCCTTTGGAATTTCTCCCTTGAAGTTATTGAAGCTCAAATACCTTTAAGAAAGCCAGAAAGAAACCAATGACTAAATTTGCACAAAAGGGAATAAATTGAATTGATGGGAGATACAGAAGAATCGAGGGCACTCACAAATGCGTTAACCTCTTCAGCTCTCCAATTTCCGGAGGAATTACATCTTGTAGTTTATTCCACCTCAAGTTTCTAGAAGGAACAACAATGTCAGAGACCAAGTGAGGCAAATATAAACATAACATACAAAACCTTTTGAAGATAGCGAAAGCACACTTTTGTCCCACAATTTCATCCTCAGGACATCCGTTTCCGAAGAATTAATCAACATTTCCCATTTTGGAATCAGAAGGATAAATGGGAAATGACAGGGCAAGGAAACGATTATATGATTGTGTATTACTAAGATGATGAAACATACAATACTTTAAGCCGTTTCAGCCGTCCAATTTGTGGAGGAATTGGACCAGTCAGCTTGTTGTTATGGAGATCCCTGGAAAAAAAACCCGACATTCAGAAACTAATTTCAATTCAATCGTTTGAAGAACAGCCAAAACTTCAAAGCAAATAAGAGAATGCAACAAAGGAAAAGGATGATAATCACAGCAAACATTGAGAAACAACTTACAGCCTCGTCAAATCTAAAAGATTTGTTACTGCTATGGGAAACGGCCCAACGATTGAAACCGCATAAACTTCTCTGTACAATACACAGATCAAATTAACAAAGATTCAGTCACACCATGATTGCTCAAACAAGAAAACTGAAGCAGGGTGAGACAAAAAAGCAATGCTTTTGCCGGGGAAATTGTCAACTTACAGCTCGGTGACAACCCTATAGTCACCTTGGGTTGAACATGTGACACCAGACCATGGCGGGAGGTCACCATCTCCGCAGGGATCATCTCCGACCCACGAGTAGACAACTCTCCATCCGAGGGAGGCTTTGATCTCATTTAAGGCTTTCACTGTCAGAAGAGGAACACGAATTCTCTTAAGTAACTCAGAAAAAGCTATCATCTGAGCATTAGATGACAATGTAAAGTATGGAACATGGAATGGAATCCTACAGCTTTAACTTATAACACAATCGCTAGCAGGTTTGTTATGGTTGCGGATCACAACCTTACGATCTCATCAAGAAGTAGATTTCATGGATGCTAAAGGAAGAATCTTTGACGTATACAAGGCTAACAAACAACCCTTGATGAAGTCGCAGAAACAAATAAAAAATTCTCTCGGAATTTCAGGCGAACCCAGATAAAAAGAATCAAACTTTCGAGAAAAATCATGAAATCGATAAAAGAGGAAAAGAGTTTCAGTCATGGGTACTTTCCAAATATGCCAAAAACTGCACGCCCATTGATGGGGCGCTTCACAAAAGGAAGATGAGATCGAAAATGAGGAGACTTACCATCTCGCTTAAGGGTTTTCGATTGCGCAAGAGCATAGAAGCAAGAAAGGGTGCAGATCACAAGTAGCTTCCAGTGAGAAGCCATGGTTTAGCTTCTTAGCCAAAGAGGACGAGGAAACAGATCTAAAGAAGCGAGCGAAATTAGATTGTTTTGTTGGCCTCTCTCTCTCTCTTCTCCGGATCCGAATAGGCGCATTCGGATCCAGAGCCACCGACGGATCTTAGTGGGACCCAGATGCGGAAATAGGACCGCGTTTTGGTAAATTTTTTGTGAAATTTCCGGCGTGTGATTCACAAATTACTACCGGTTCATAAATTATCAGTGCATCATCTATTCGAAAGAAAATATACCTGAAAATTTTCAATTATTTGTCCCTTCGATTTCAGAAGAGGTCGAATTCATTTTTGCTTTCACAAACCCATAAACGATCCAAAAACCGAGGTTGACACGACGAACTATCTTTTAAAATATCGCAACATTAGTAAGAACAGCACAATACCCCGACCAATGTCATATCACAAAGCCACAACCAGTTTCGTAGAGAGACCAAACCACCAAAAAAAAAATCACACCACAGCATTCCGACACAAAGCGTCTGACTTCAACGACTCGAGAAAAAAACCACACACTGAGACAGATCATATCATCAGCTCCCGGAGGTGCAAGAAGTGTCTCCACAAGATGAAGAAGTAGTCGACGAGCCGAGTTTCTTCATCTCTTCGTATGCCCATTCCAGGCCAGGACAGTAATGAAGCGGCGGATTGAACCTGCAGTCGCTTATATCGTCGGGCAAGAAAGCGCCATTCTCGACCAGAAACTTCACTGCTTCTCTCTTCCGCTCATAGGCTGCGGCATGAAGAGGTGTCCAGCCACAGGCCCCCCAGGCTCTAGCATCGATGTTGGCCCCACGTTCGAGAAGCTCGTCCATGACCTCGATGTGGCCTCCTTTGGCGGCAAGGTGGAGAGGGGTCACCCCTTTTGATTTGGGTCCCCATGCAGGCGCGTTTACGTCCATCCCCTGGTCAAGGAGTTCTTTCACAGCTTTGAGATCGCCCTTTCGGGCTTTGACGTGGAGCGGGGTCCACCCTCTGTCATCACAGTCAACACCTGACCTCGGTGACCGGCGTCTGAAGGAATTGCGCCGGAGAGAGAACGGTACCGGCGGCTCTTGGAGCATTTGGTCCTCTTCCTCGGAACTAAAGTAGAAAGGATGGAGTTTTTACGGACTAGGAGAGTCTAATCAAGCAGGAAAGACACAAGGATGGATCACTACAAGGGAAGAATCTATTGAGGGCACGGATCTCCTTGATTTTTGTACGTCAATCTTACCCAAGAGTGTCACTGAAAAAGGCACTACTTTTGGCTAGAAATCTGAAACAGTGCCAGCCTAGGAAATGAAGGATGCAGATTTACATAATCTGGCTGAAAAGGAAAACGAACTTTTGGTACCTGCTATGGCCATTAGTGTGAACTGCTGTGTTTTTAAGTCATGTTTCCTTCACCTGGGATATCCTTGGAAAGAGGGATTCAAGCCAGGACCAAAGGCACGGATGTTTTGGCAAATCACAATGAGAGTCATAGACAGTGAAGAGAATATGAACATCACTTCAAATGGAATAAGAGCCTAATGGTTTATTGAGAATTCTAATGTGGAGAGGAACCTGCCAACTTGGAAAAATCAGACAAACCCTGGATCGATATGCAAAGAGATTGGAGACAACATCGAAACTGCTACAGAACCTACTTAGACCTGTATGACCCAAATTTAATCCCAGAAACCAAACGAGGATAACCGAGGACAATGCTGCTGGGAATTACCAACTCTGCAAAGCGAAGAACAAAAACATCATATCAGCGAAACCAATTTAAACGTTATGTTAAGGGCAGAAATAATAATCAAATTCCTAATAGGCATAGGAACTAGAAAACATATGAGAAAAATCGAAAGAAAACTGAAATCTAGAAAATAACAATCCCTAAAAGGAAAAGGTATATAACAAAATATGAGAATAAGGGGAACTTACAGCAAAAACATAGTCACTAACCTACTTCCAGTAAAAGAACAAAAATACAACACCATGGATGCAAAGACAATGAATTTCAAGTTTTAGACAAAGACAGCATGGGTCTCAGAATTCCAAGAACAAAGATTTATTTACCAACACGGCTAATAGCGGCATCATAATTCGACTGGGGCAGTATAAAAGTATTCCAAGTCACAAGATTCAGTCTTTAAGGATCGGATAAAGGGACGAAAACAATCCCTAACCGACAATCAAGATAAACTTAAAAGCTAACAAATCAAGGAGCCTCGTGAACACAACCCAACTTCGTGACCGATGTATACGCCTCAGGCCCATCTACTCGCACACAAACAAACAAAATTCCAAGCAAAACAAAGAAACGAACGCATACGAACCCAACAAATTCCCAAAAGGTATAGAGGCATCCCGAATTCAGAGAAAAATCCACCAAAACGCATCAAATTTCACGACACAGTGATTGAAATTCATGCACACACATACCGAACAGGAACGAGAACAGAAGAGCGCGAAATGCAAACAGCGAAGAAAGACCCCTGATTACGTAGAACCCAACCAAAGGAGAGAATCAGAGATCGCACAAGGTGGATTTCGGAGGGAACGATAGCTGGGAGAAAATTAGGGTTTCTTCAAGTCGGATGAGAATTAAGCTAATCAGAGGAGGCGTATCGGATAATGAGCTAATTATGGAGTATATATATATAAGAAGGTGCACGCGGTGTACGCATACACGATGGCTTCTTAATTTAGAGCGGCGACTAACAAACGGGCCGATTTAATGGGCCTTCACTCTGGCCCAATTACCTCACCACGGAATCATCACTATTCAAAATCTCCTAAAAAAAATATTTCTAACCCATAAAAATTATATATAATATAATTCTCAAACTAATTTGTAGATTAACATTGTTAAGATTTTTTCTATTATCAATTAATAAATTTGATAATTATAATGACACATTTTGTAAGTTTGAAAAATAAATTTATCAAGTAAATTAGCTTTCTACCATTTTGTAAAAAAAATATGGGTTTTACCTTTTTTTATTATATATATATATATATATCTATATAATTTACAGTTTTTTTTTATATAAATACACAAATTTTCAAAATTTTTTAAAAAATTCTACCTGAATATAATCATTCCCATTTTTATTTTGAAAAATCCTACATTTTTTTTTGGCAAAATGTTAAAAAAAAAATTGATAACGGAGCACCTCTAACATCTAACCTTCGGACGGGAGCATTATCAAAAATGCCTTTAAAATGGTACTTGTACTTCATGGAGTACCCTTCTCCCAGAAAAAAAAAACACCCCCTTCACATATACCCTTACCATATGTACAATTTCCATTATACCCTTATATTATAAAACAAATAAAATAAAAATAATAATTTGTCTCCTAAAAAACAGTGTCGATTTCTCTCTCTTCGTTATCAGTCTTCATTCTCTCTCCTCCGGCATTTGCGTTCTCTCTCTCCTCCGTTTGCTCTCTCCCTCCGTTTGCTCACTCTCTCTCTTCCAATTTGAACTCTGTCTCCGCCGCTGCCGATTTGCTCTCTCTCTCTTCCAATTTGGTTGCTCTCTCCCCATCGATTTGCTCTCTCTCTCTTCCTATTTGGTTGCTCTCTCTCCATCGATTTG